GCCTCCCTTTACCTTCATGCGCTCTTTGATATGAGGCGCGCTTCATGGTCGAATCAATGCCTGCGAGCTGCTCGGCCCTTCATGCACCTTCATCGAGCTCTTTAGATCTTTGCATGATGGCACCACACGCTTCTAGAGCAAAGAAAGCAGCAGACTTCATATCTGGAAACTCTGATTCTGATTTGGTGGATCTGAAGGAGGTCGTCTTCTCCATGTGGCTGATCTTTATCTGTAGTTGCTGCTGCAAAGAGGATCGACTGTTTGCTTGTCTGAAGATGTCATGCTCACATGATTTTGTGCAATAAGACAGAAAGTACAGCTGTCAAACTTGAGGCTCGAGTTTATGTCCAGATCTGATTTATGTTGCCTCGTGTAGATGTTGTTGGAATATATAAAAGGAAACCGTCATTAAAGATGATGTAGGGCTACATCATGGGGTTTGTCCATGAGTCTTCCAGAAGGATCCACTGCTGTTGGATCTAGTTGACCAGTCGATTCATAGATTATTTGATCAATAGAAAAATAAAATCATCAGTATTTACGCCAATTTGGAAGCAAAACTTGACGGTTGCAGCGTCTTCTTCAGCTGTTTGAAAACATCACCTCGGGCTCTCGGAAGCAGCAACGAGCATCTTCACTGTTGTCACAGTTTGTCAAGTGAATGATTCATCCTAAACTCAATAATGGCATCGTTGTCCCACTGTCCCATAACCTTAAACACACCCTGTGGAGCTCACACTTGACATGTTGCATCACATATTGAGCAAGAAGGCTTTTCATCTGCATGAAGTATTTATAAAGCTGGTAACTGGAGGGTTTAAACTACACTTTAAAAAGGAAATCAGTAATTTTATGGAAGTTTTCCTTTTTTATTTTTTCATTTTAAAAAAAGAGCACACAAATAGAAAGTGATTCTGCATGTCTAATGTCACCAGTAAAAACTGTAAATAACATAAGACTTCCATTTTGTTGACAAAAACACTGTTAAAATACATTCACTGAATTTATTGTAAATTCAAAGAAGTGTGAGTTTTATCTAAAGTTTTAAGACGAGCTATAATCAGTGAAATCAGGCAGAAAATGAAATAATTTTACAGATTTATTTATGAGAGACATCTTGCATAATTACAGACATTTTCCCAACAAAAGGATGAAATGAATCTGTCAAAATACAGTAATTCTATTTGTATATATTTATCTTCTCGTTGTACACATGTCGTTTTCATTAAACATTATTAAAATGATTTCTTTTTATATTTAGGGAAAACACATTTTAAGTTGTTTTCCCCTATTATTTATCATTATGTTTTTGACTCACCAGCTGCTAGAATATCATCATTATTATGTTTTTTACATTTATCAGTTTCTTCTTACTGTGTATTCATCCCTGTTTACCAGTTTCCTCCTTCACTGCCTAAAGACGAACTGCTTCTTGTTTATTGATTGTGTCATCTGCTGATTTGCCGATTAGCTTGAAACCATCTGCAGAAGCATTTATAAAGTGTTTTTTTCTTTTTTTCTCCTTTATTGTACAGGAAAGGGAAGAAAGACGGGGAAATGTCGGGAGAAGAGTGGAGGGAAGGACATGCAGCAAATGAGCCGCTGGTTGGACTCGAACTTACTCGGCTGATGTGCCACATGATGGTTTAAGTCTTACAGGTGGAGTCTTTGATTATGTAAAATATTTTTTTAAATACCATTTTCACTGCATAAAAAATGTATGTTTACAAAGATATGTGTGAAGTTTTGACTTGATAATCAAATACTTTGAGGTCAAGTTTTTTTGTCGACTCCCTTTCAGCTTGTGTTTTGTGCCGATTGAAATTTTAGGCAATGTTTGGATGAATATAATGATAAATATCTCAGAGAGTAATAAAGATAAAAGCCTGATATTTTCTCTGTTTTTTCTCATCATGTCCTTGATTCAAAATCTGCAACTTCGGACGAGTAGATCAAATAGTCTCTGATTATCGGTGAGATAAAATATGAAAAAAACGAACTTTTCATGAAAAGTTTCATCTTTATACTCAAATTAACAAAAACATTGATGATGCAGAAGTCAACTACTGATATTTTCTCAACTATATGTATTTGCATGTTACAATAATACAAAACAAAACATACAGAATAGTTTTTAATTTAAATTACTCTGTCAGAAAAATGAAAAAAAAAAAAACATATTTGCGTTAAAATTGTACAACTAAGTGAGCAGGTATAATAAGTTGTGCCACAAAAACAGTTTTATTGGTAGTTTGATCCAAGTAGAACAGAAATCTGAATCAATGCATTGATGAGAAATAACAGTGAAAATTTCAGGGATTTGTCTTTGATGGTTTTCGAGGAACTGTCATCCAAACAGCCTCAGATTTTAATGAGCAAAAAAAGGAAAGCATTCAATATATCAAGCAACTAATTCTCAGACACCATTTAAACATCCTTAACTTATGATAAACAAGATTTCAGGCAAGTCAGAGATGGTCGAGCAGAATCGGCCCTGATGATCAGAGATGGAAAAACCAAGCTGTGAACTGAATTTTAAAGTAAATACGTACTGTAAGCTGTCACCAGCACTGAGATATTACTGAGTGATCGGTTACAAGAAGAAGCAGTGGACGGATGATGCAGCTGTGCCAAATGTCAGGTTTAATAGGCGTCGCTTTGAAACAACAGCTCTGAGGCAAGAGCGTCATATTTTGTTAAATGCTTTTTCTTTTCTTTTGCTATCCTCTCTGGTGGGAAACAAATAAAAAGCGTGGAGAGCGATCGAGGGGGAGATATCGAGAATGTCCCAATTTGTTTGTTTCCTGCTTCCAGAGTCAGGCCGGTACAAATTATTTTCAGCGGACTGTGAGGAAATGTGCAGTGATTTTTGACAAAAACTGTACTGAATTGGTGTGACTGGCTCTACTTTTAAGTGCAGGCAACAGCTTGAGAAGCTCATGTGCACAATAGGTGCAGATGGAGAGACTTATAAAAGCTTATTTCCTAAAAAATCTGCAGCAAAGTTTGGAGCGAATCACATCCGATGACAAAATTTGTGTGAAGTTGACCACAGATTTCCTTATGTTTTCCTTGTTTCTTCTATTAATCCTCATCTGTTCTCCAAACAACCTGCATGCATTTATCAGACACTTCATTAGGAGCACCTGCTTCACGCAATTACCCATTCATCCAATCAGGTGCCAGCAGAGCAGTCCAAAGAATCCTGCAGGTGCTTCAGCTCACAGTCAGACATCAGAGTGATTGTCGGTGCCAGACGGGCTTCTTTGAATCATTCTGAACTTGAACGGCGTCTAGATTTTACTCAGGATGTTGCGGGGAAAAAAAACCCAGTCACATGAAAACGCCTTGTTGATGAGAAATGTTGGAAGAGAATGACTGGATCTGACACAAAGGTTACCTCAGATAACCCATCTTTATGACAGTGCTGAGCAGAAATAAACAGCCCAGAGCCACAGCAGACTGCTGTCAGCTGAGAGCATAAAATCTGAGGCTGCAGAGGACAGAGATTCAAACTCAACGGCTGAAGAGCATAGCCTGGTCTGGTCTGGGGGGGCCAACAGATGGTTCAGCAAGTTAAGCAGCAATGAAGCCATGGACCCAGGCTGTCTTGTGTCAACAGTCCAGGCTGCTTCTTGGGGGCGTGTGATGGTGTTTTCTTGGCACACTTTGGGCCCCCAATCGATCACGGTTTGAATGCCGGGAGCCCTCCGAGTATTGTTGGTGCCAATGTGCATCCAGTCATGACCGCAGTTTACCATCTTCTAATGGCTGCTACCGAAGCAGAGTCCGGCGGCCTCCCAAGTCACCCCATCTGGATCCAGGAGAACATTTGTGTGATATTGCAAAAGTGGGGAGATTCATCTTGTGAATTATGTAATGAAATGATGTCCAAATGGAGCAGAAGCACTTAGGAATGTTTCCAACATGTCAGAGATCCCACGATAAAGAACTGAGGCTGTTTGTATTTAAAGTGTAGTTTTACATTCTGACATCTAACCGCCAGATGTAGAGTAAAAACGTAAACATGCCGCACTTTTCTTTCTCTTTTTTAAGCACGAAAACTTTCCAAGAACTCCCTCTGACATGATAAAGTGTGTCTTTATGTTCTAGTGGAAGATGGAGAGGAAAACACTTGTGCAGATGGAATAAGAGCAGCAGCAGAAAGATAAGAGCCTCAAGTGACAGAAAGCAGGCTGGACGCTGGAGACTGTAACATTAATTCCTGTGAGTTTGACAGTTAATTAGCTTCTGACCCAAGACAGTCAACTCTGACCAGATCAGCCAATACATTTCCATTTTTGCATCTGTCCATGCTCAGCTTGCAGATCAGAGTATTTCACATATGAGCTTCTCTCACCCCCACAGGATCTGACATGCTGATCTCCTGCCCAGGCTTCTTATGGATTTCCTCCTGACATGAGACATCAGTGATTTCTCATGTCTGTTAAATACGTGTCTAAATGCAGATCGACCTGAGGTGTCTTATCACCTGCCACACAGTGCTTCAGTCCCTTAACTCTGTTGTCTGAGTGTTGTTATGATGCAGGTAGCCTCGTGGTGAGGCTCTGACGGTGTTTTTGAGACTATTACGCACACGCACACACGCACACAAACATCACTCCACCACCTCCTGTTGAGGTTTTTTTGTCCCCAAGCGCGTTTACAGGCGCCGTGGGTGATAAAAGCTCAGGCGCACTTATCGCTGAACGGTGGCCGCGCAAGAAGAAAGGAGCGCACCTCTCCCCGGAGCGCACGGCGGAGGGGCGGATCTAACAGGACACCGGCATCTGCTCTCCGAGTCCTCATTCATTCGCCAAGTCTCGGACTGGATAGCTTACAAATTTCTTCAATCTGAGGTGCCACATGCGCGCAAGCTGCAGCGCAACGTTCCCCCGTGCGCCACCGCTTCTCCAAATGAGTTGACCGAGTGAGAAAGCACCGAGACCGGATGGTTCCGTCCCGCGGTGCAAACTTCCGACAGGTCCAAACAGCCCGGCATGATCATTTCCAACGTGAGCCTGAGCTGTGCGCACTGTCCCGGGGGAGCAGCCGGCGGCACCGCGGCGACAGACGCGTACGAGGAGGTTTCCGGTTCTCTCCCGCCTCCGTCCCTGAGCCCGACGGGGCACCTGGTGGTGGCGGTGTGCCTCGGCTTCATCGGTGCCGTCGGGTTCCTCAGTAACTTCCTGGTGATCACGCTGTTCTGCCGGTACCGGGCTCTGCGCACGCCCATGAACCTCTTGCTGGTGAGCATCTCGGTGAGCGACCTGCTGGTCAGCGTGCTGGGCACCCCGTTCAGCTTCGCAGCCAGCACCCAGGGGCGCTGGTTGATCGGACGCGCTGGGTGCGTTTGGTATGGCTTCATTAACGCGTGTTTGGGTAAGCAGCTGTCTTCATTATCTTTTGGCATGAGAACACCTTCTGAAGTCTATGAATCTTTACCTGATCCTACTTTCTCTCGCACTTCATCCTCAAATATCAGGATGAAATATTGACTATTTTACTTTTGCTGCCAGGTGCGTTCTTATCTCAGCATCTGGGATCTAGTATGTTGCAGAAAGTGTGACAATATGGTGATTTTTGCAGTTTGGCCACTTGACCCATGATGCACTTTTATCCAAAGCTCCAAAAGTCACAACATTTCTTCAGTTCTTGGACAAAATTCGTTCTTTTTTGTTTGCAGCTTGCAAGAGCATGCAGATAACATGCATTCCTTACCTGCAGCAACATGCAGCATGCAACTCAATTTAATTAAAATCTTGTAAATCCATTCAGTTATGCACTTGATTTCCGTTTTTCTACAGTCTTGTTCAGTTTCAAATGTGCAATCTGCTGCTCTGTGCTCATTATGTTCAGCTTGCAAACTGAATTTCCTCTATATGGAAATAAAACAATTCAGATTTGGTCCCAGAGGCATCGATGTTTTTGGGCAGAGAGGTTGGAGGCGGAAGAGATGAGCCCTAAAATAAACACAAAACATGGAAAAAGCATTTCTGATTGTATTACATAATAAATCTGCTCCTGTCAGACTCTGCAGACGTTGTGTCTCCTGCTCAGTTTTTGTGCACTGTTGACAGAGCTCCCCACCATCCAAAATTGTGACCTTTCAGCTTGAGGACAATCACTCTAATTACTGTCCGGGATTGACTGATGTCATCCCGCCGCTCACAAACCAAAGCATCCTAATTTTCGAGCCGCTGGAGCGATGAGGACCAAAGGGGGGGGAGAGATGATGATTGGGGGTGATCCTGCTGTGCCAGTCAGCATTTTTCGAGCTCATTCTGAATTTAAATGTTCTTTCTCTGCAGGGACTCTCAATTTGAAGTGAACAATCAATCTGCCAATGGGCTTAACTACAGACCTTTCTCACCTGTACTCACCACATCGCTGTATATACTTTCTTATCAGGACTCTTTCAGGAGTCCGGACTTGAGTAACGTGTAGTTTCTCTTAAATCAGTTGAGTTTGCAATAAAGCGTTGCTGTCGTTAAATCGTCTTTTTTACTCTTTGGAGTCTGGAATTGTTGGCTACTGAAGTATTGCTCTTAAATCAGGTGTCTTCTTTTAGAGTCTGGACTTGCAGTAAAGTTATCGTTGTTCTTAAATCAGCTGTTTCCTCTCTGGAGTTTGCACTTGACTTACAGTGCAGTAAGAGTCGCTGCTTTTTTAATCATTCATTCTCTCTGTGAAGTCTGGACTTGCAGTAAAGTGTAGTCAGGTGGTGTTACTCTTAAATGTGATTTCTTCTCTCTTTGGCGTTTGGAACTTCAACATTGTGCTGTTTCTCTTAAATTAGTTTTCTCTCTGGACTTGCAGGGATGTGCAGAAAGGTGCTGCTGCTCTTCAAGCTGCTGTTATTTCTTGAGCTGAACTGTAATGTGCAGGAGAGTGTTGCTCTTAAATCTGTTGTTTTCTCTCTAAAGTCTGGAAATTGCAAGAAGGTGCTCTGAGGTGTTCTTAAATCTCTTGTGTTTTTTTTTCTTTCTTTCTCTGGAGTCTGGAGTTGCAGAAACATCCAGAAAGGTGTTATTGCTCTTAAATCTGTTCTTTCTTGAGAAGTCCTGTGTTTAATGTGTTTAAGGCGCAGGTGAATGTAGCTGTTATCCCTAAATCTATTGTTTTCTCTCTGGAGTCTGGACTTCCATGAACATGTAGTAAAGTGTTGTTGCGATTAAATCTGCAGTTATTTCTTGAGAAATCTGGAGTTTAATTACTTTAAGGTGCAGGAGAGTGTTGTTGTTGCTCTTAAATCTATTCTTTTCTCTCCAGAGTCTGGAATTGAAGGAACATGCAGAAAGGTGTTATTGCTCTTAAATCTGTTCTTACTTGAGGAAGTCTGGAGTTCAATAGCTGTAAGACAGTATGTTGTTATTGCTCATAAATCTGTTGTTTTGAGTCTTGAATTGCATTAACGTGCATTGAGATGTTAAATCAGAAGTTTTCTTTGTAGGAACTAAACTCCAGTCAGGTGTAGTAAGACGTTGCTCCTGAATTGATTTTATTTTTGAAGTCTGCATGTGCAATAAGGCGCTTTTAATTCAGGTGTATCTTCTCTGGAGTCTGGACTTAGCAAAAGGTGCATTGAGGCGTTGCTCTTAAATCTGTTGTTTTCTCTTTGGAGTCTGGACTTGCATTAAGGCGCATTAAGATGTTGTTCTTAAATCTGTTGTTTTCTCTTTAGGAACTAGACTCCAGAAAGGTGTGGTGACATGTTGCTCTTAAATGTATTTTTGCAGTGTGCACATGCAGTAAGGCATGATCACTCTTAAGTCAGGTGTATCTTCTGTGGAGTCTGGACTTGCATTAAGATGTCCCTCTTAAATCAGCTGCTTTCTCTTTGGAGTCTGGAGTTACAGCAGAGTGCAGTAAGTCATTACTCTTAATTCAGTTATTTTCTCTGTGGAGTCTGGACTTCCTGTAAGGGGTTATCACTCTTAAATCAGGTATTTCCTCTTTGCAGTCTGAACCTGCAGCTAGGTTTAAACCTGTTTTACCTTGATTCTGTTTTCTCATCTTTTTCCCATTAAACTGAAGAAATTGGACTAAATTACTCCACCGTGCAGCTCCTATTTGACTGGGTCAACGGTTTTCCAACACCACCCTGGGTTTCTTGTTTAATGAGACCTACATAGGTGTAATTTGCAGTTTGTTCATAACCAGAGAACTATTAATTTTGCACAATGTTTGGTGCATGTTCAGGAGCCACTGTGGAATAAACAAGCAACAACAAACATGATCAAAGAGCCACTGTTAAAGAAAACCTGAGATAGAGATTCACGTCTGAACAAGAAAAGTCTTTGGCTCTGTGAAACTACTGGAGTGGAGAGATGGGCACCCTGACATCAAAGATTTATGAGAGCAGTGAGTGATTGATGACAGTTTAGGTAGAATTGATCCCATCGTGGAAGAAGACGAAGGACATATGCAGCACAGAAATAACCTATAGGGGGATGTCACTTCAATTCATATTGAGTGAGGTAATAGTACTTATTTATAAAATGCTGTAGGATTTGAGCCTCGCGTCTTCAAGTGAAGTGAGACATCAAACGAGACTGAGCCGTAAGTGGCATAAATTGCAGCCTGAAGAGAAGGTTTATGTTGAGTTTGCATCGCTTCTTCAGAGTGGATATTATGGCACAATATCTTTAAGTAAAGTGCATTTAATTGGTGCAGTAATGTAACAATTCTGCACAGTTTTTTTATTGCATTAAAGTGGCTTCTTAGTGTTCTGTTTCTGTATAAGAATGGATTTCTATTGTTCAGGCTGTTGACTCTAATTTATATTTAAGCAAAGCCACTTACAGCCGTGGATAAGCGGTGAACTGTAAAAACTGAACAAAAAGCTAATCAAGTAAAGTGACAGAAGTTCGTGTCATTGACTGCCTTGATCTGTTATTTATCAGTATCTTACCCGACATTTACATTAAACTGGACACTGGCTCACTTTCGGGCCGATTAAACAGAAATTAACCTACTTATTTTGGCAGGGTCAAAGGGAAAGCAGAACTGAGACCCCTTGTTTCGCCCTCCGCCCACGAGAGCTGTGATGCGAAGTCCTGTCTGTTTGTTAATTCACTAATGAGACATTGTTCGCCCCACTGCAATTACCCAGACAGCATGAGAGCTACTGTAGCGTGCAGTCAGGGACAGTTAGCGAGCTTGTAATCAAGCCTCATCAGGTCACTCTCGCTGGAACAAGACTGTCTTCATGGAGTCACAGAGGACAGCTTTCCATATTCTCTGTGTTTCTAACACCCTTTCCTTCTTGGCCTGTTTCGCTGCTGTAAGCGGTCCAACATCACAGTGGATGGATAATTTATGGAGGGAAACATTTATTAAAGGACACAGAAGAGACAGAAATGCTGTTTGTACGTTTATTGGACATTTATGCATTTTTTAAACTGGTATAATGGCCAAACAGTGAACAGAAGCAGGAAGCACTGACATGTACATATCATTCAAGGAATCATGACTGGATATCAGCAGGTCACTTATAAGCATAACTTTTGTAGGTGTGCATTGGCACCAGAGCCACTGATATTTTGAGTCTTGATATTGAATTTTATCCTTAGAAAACTGCAAAATAAAGTTTAATCTAAGTTCGACAGAGCTGTTGGTGCTAGAGGATGGTCTGACTGCACCTTATCTTCATTTTGCTATAGTGGTCGAAACAAAACGATAAAAAGGTTCTGGCTTGGTTGTACTTCCCTAAACTAATTGAAATTCTATTTGGCGGCGCTCAGCCCAGGATACAGTGATGGTGCCCCTGTAAAATAGTGTAGAGAAGAATTGTTTTGGAGGAGCTTTTGCACATTGGGAGGCGAGAACTGTCATTAAAATGGCTAGTTCCCTGCAAAGCCAACATATAAATATGGCTTCTGCAGAAGTTTATCAGACTGCTATCACAGAAGCTCGTGTGAAGTTAAACAAGTCAGAACATCGGCCAAATCGACGTCACTGGCGCATGTCGCTGCCAGAGTTAAAACGGTGTGACAAATTGCAACTTGGCCGAGGATGGCTGTGTTAGAAAACACATCAACAAGTACTGTAAGTCGGAGCCTGTGTTGTTTATTTTTTTTCAAAGTGCATTCAGGAGTTGTTTTAGTCCTGAAACTGCAATAAATATGATTCTATACATATGTAAGCAAACTGGAGGTTGTTACTTCCCACAGTGAAAGGGATTTTAAAAACAGCAACATGTAGATAGCAGAAGGGGCAGAGAATGAAATATGTGGCCAGTGACAGGTTTATGCCCACATTCTACAATGGGTATCCAATTTGGACGTTATCAGCCCATTGAAATGAACCGTTATCAGGACAAACCAGTCCCACACATATCAGCCAGTCAAGACCTACAGACATTGCATTTGCGACCTCTT